TGGATTTACCTGCCGCCAAGACCTTCATTATGGGCTGGACTCCAGAGGGCTTTGGAGGAAACCTCAGATGCCGGCCGTTTTCAGAGGTTCATGCTCAAATGGGGAATTTGCCTGATTTATATACTGGAGCCTGTGTTGTAAGACAGAGAAACAGCTATATTTAGCCGGGATCCCCAGTCCAGGAAGTTGTTTGAGGTGCATCATAGGAAATTATGAATGGAAGAAAGTGAGAGTGAAGGGGGGGGACGAGTGAGGGGGGAGGGTGGGGAGTGCAGACTTTTTCCCTCTTCTAAGAATTTGATTGATAAAATTATAATGAAGCCTTCGACAAAACGCCCTGCGGTTTTCCTGAGTGACTTGCCCTGGGAGCTGTCTGAGGGTAACGGGGAGGGGGCCCCAGGCCGAGTCGGCGGGTCCCCGGCAGTGGGCGCCCCAGACAGCCCTGACTCACCTGGCTTTGGGGAGGTGGCGAGAGATGGGACAAGCAGATGGAGGCTGGCACCTGTGATCCCCTGGTTGGGGGCCTTTAGGGGACAATGGGAGGAGGCAGGCTGGGGCTCCGCTGCCAAGGAGCCTCCAGGAAGAGGGGCTGGGGCCTGGCTTGGACTTTAGACGGTAATAAAGTGGAACCAAACGTGGGCGCTGGAAGCCTCCCCGGAGGTAGCCTCCTTCGACCTGCCCATTGCCACAGGGCAAAGGGGGGTTCCACGGGGAGCGTGTCTGGGGCTCCAGAGGGTCAGGCCTCCTGACCGCCATCACGCATGCTCTGCTGACCATTGGTACCGGTGAGGCTGGGGACGGGGCTATGAAGACTTGGAGGTGGGGACGGACATGATTCGGCTCTTTGGGGACAGTCCGGGAAGGAGCTCCTGAGTAGGTTTCCATTCTGGAAGGGATAGATGCCTGAAGCAGAGAACAAAGGAGGCGTGGTGAAATCAGACCCAGGATGCTGAGGGATGGCTAGGGGAACTGGGAATAGGACGGCCCCTACCAGACCTGCCTTGGAAGCTCCTTGGAGCTCAGCCTCAGAGAATGAGGGCGGCCCCCTAAAAGGTGCTTCTACCCTCTCTAAGGCAGGGTCACAAGTTCTAGTGTCTGCCACCGCCAGGCAGAATCATGAATGAGGAGGAGGGGCAGGAAGGAATGGTGGGGAGTAGGGCAAAATGAACATTGGGACTCCTCCAAGAGAGGCAGAAAAAGGTGAGAACACAAAACCCACGAGGAGAAGGGGTGCTTGCCAGACAGCATACCATACAGCTGGGCCATGCTGTCCCCAAAGCTGGCAGCAGACTCCCATACCAGAACCAGTCTCATTCCCTTGGGTCTCCCACCCCGGCCCTCCAGCCTGATCCTGACCTGAGGTCAAGAAAGGAGAGTTGGTTTCCAAGGCCAGGGAGCCCCTGCAGCCTTGCCCCGGCCCCTCCCCCCCCAGTCCCCCCCTTGCCCATCCTCCATGCCCCCAGCTCCTGCCTCTTGCCGCTTCCTGGACCTTCCCAGCCAGACCACTCCTCCCTCATCCTGCCATGATGAGCCCTCCTTCCTGCTGCTCCCCCCACGCCCCGCCCTATCCAGGCTCCCCCATGCTCTCCTAGCAGAGCCTCAGTTGTGGTGATAAACTGCCGGTCCCAGCTGGCACTTCCCAGGCTGGCTCTCCTTCCTGCTTCCTCTTCCCTGCACCCCCCATAACTTGGGGGCTGTGGAGTGGCCCACCTGGCACTTACTACTCCCATACACCTGCTCTGAGGTCAGTGCACACCTTCAGGGACCCACACACTCTGACTTGGCTCAGGCAACCCCACATCACAGGACACCCCAACTCACTCCCTCTTCTTACCACCCCCCCAGCGTCTCCTGCACAAGGACCTGACCACTCAGAACACGTGAGCTCTGGATCAGCCTCCAGTCCCTCCCCCACATCACCCAGACCCAGTCACCTGACTCAGCCTGGCTCTCCTGACCTGGACCCCAAATCCATGTGACCAGGCTCCCCATGGCCCCCATCTACCGATCCCCCATCCCCCCAACCCAGCCTGAGTCTCTCGCGAGGCGCTCTGGCTCTCCCCATCTTTCCCCTACATCCTTCTGAGTGGACTTCTAGGGTCTTGCCCCACCTTCTGGCTCCACAGACCCCCACGCTGGCCCTGTGATGCACCCCTAATCACCCTTTAATTCAGCCCCATCCCACAGGAAACAGGAAGTGGGAACAGGGCCTAGAAAACACTAACACTACGACCACTTAACCCCAGTCCTGACTGGCCCTTCTGGGTGCCTCAGTTTCCCCTCTCACGGTACCTGACTTGGTTTGTGCTCCCCAAGTGCTCTGGGCCCCTCGTCGACCCTGGCCCAGCCTCCCCCTCCTGTCCATGTCCTGGTGCCACCTGTGCTGGGCCTCTGGGGGGAAAGCTGGGCAGGGTCGCGGAGCCGCCAGTCCTTGAGTCGCCTGCAACGTGGCCACAGGCCCCGGGAATCGGCCGCCCAGGCCGCGCTCCAGGCCAGCTTTGGCCTCCTGGAGTTTGTTTTCTTCCCTTCCCCTCTATGCTGCTGTGTGTTTTCCCCCCAGCTCCCTCACGGAAGGCATCCTCCCTTCTTGGCTGCCTGCTCCCAGGGTCATGACCCCAGGCCCCACCCTGGAGTGGCAGCCCCAGCCCGGCCCCTTCCAGCTGTGACTTCATCTACAGCCGTCCTGCTCCTGCAGATCAGGCCTGCTGGGGATTTGGCCTGCCTCAGGGTGAGGGGGACAGGCAGGGCCTGCATGGGCCCCCCCACAGGCTGGAGGGGGCTGCCAGGCCAGGGCCCAGGGCTGCTGTCTCCTGGTGGCTGTGCCATGCGGCCGTTCGTCTCCCCTCTCCAGAAAGTGAGCACTCGGCTGGCCCAGCCTTCCTAGGGCTCTCCCATGTACACCTTGGCACATGGATGGCCACCCAGACCTTCTTTTCCTGCTGATCTTCATCCACTAGCTACAAGTCTTTCCTAGGTTATCACAGCTACTTATTTTTCAGTTGGGGAAACTGAGGCTTGCAGAGGCCAACGCATTTGTCCAGAGCCACACAAAGAGTTAACAGGAGAGTCAGGGCTGGAGCCTGCCCTCTGGCTTATAGGCCACAGGGATCCTCACAGCACCTCATGCTCCGAGGAGAGCAAGGGATGGCAGGTGCACTGAGGCTGGCTTCTTCCAGGAAGCTTCCCATGCCTCTCACAGCCCCAATCCACTCATGTCTGCCTCATCCTGCCCACTTTCATGTCAAGTGGTTACAAGTCTTATTCCTGAATCTTTGAGGGCTCACATGGAGTCTGATAGTCATTTATACTCTTGACAGCACCTAGCTCGGGGTTGTACCCAGAGTAGTTTTTTGAAAGTATTTTAAAATTTCCAGAACTTGTCTGTGCCAAATCTTTCATGGAAAGGAGATGGGGAGGTCTGGAGCTTTGAAGCATGGACTTTGGCCTCATTCAAGACCAGGCTAGAGGCTTGTCTCTCCCAGATACGAGCTGATGACTGAGGGAAGTCACCACCTCCTGGCCTCAGTTTCTTCATCTGTCAAATGGGCATAATGGTACCTGTTAGGGGGTTTGCTGTGAGGGCTCAGGGCTCAGTGTGGGTCTGGGCACCCAGCAAGCCTTCTCTCTACACTTTGGCATTTGTTGTTCTGATCTCCCTGGGCAGGAGGGGTTCTCGTCCCCATTTGACAGATGAGAACACTTTGGCCCACTCTGGGGCTGAGCGGGGAAGCCTGGGCAGGAGAGGTAACTTTTAGGCTTTTGCCAATGGTAGATGGAGGCAGGAAGATCAGGCAGGCGGTGGGGGTGCTGGCATGGCAGCTCACTCCCCTCATCCTCCAGCCTGGCCCCTCACAGCCCCCACCCCAGGCCTGAGCTGAGGACAGCATCTGACCTGGCCTCACCGCCCCCAGAAGCTGATTCACCCCCAGTCCCCATCTGAGAAGGAAGGAGACATAGCTAGGCTCAGAGGGGCTTGAATCACCAGCCGCCCCCTGTGGAGCCCCGGGAGGGACGCGGGGGCGGGGGCCAGCCCCCTGCCTGTCTGTCTGTCTCTTTCCTGGGCCCTGGAGCGCTCAGGAGAAAGGGCAGCATGGCAGTGGCCCTGGGCAGAGGTGGTGGGGAGGTCCCCTCACAGTCAGGCATCCTGTGTGGGCAGCCAGCAGCAGTTACTCACCAGGTAAGCAGCTCTCTGGGCATCGGGGAATTCCCCAAGACCAATGACCCAGAAATTGAGTGCTCTGGGCAACCCCACTGCCCAGGCAGGCCCCCCTCCTTCCCTCACCACCCCCTCCCCTGTCCCAGCCAGGCTCTCAGTTCTCTGAAAACTCTACCGGCAGTGGCTTTCAGCCCCTTGCCTTGAGGTTCCCATCTGGGAAATGAGCACAGAGTGGTCAGGTGGGCCTGGGGAGGAAGCTGGGGCCAGAGGGTGGGTCCCAAGTCCGGGACTGGTGAGGGATGGCCAGAGAAGATGGGAGAAACTCGAGTTCCTGGCACAGCCCAGGCAATTGGGTGGCCCATCCAAAAAAGGCAAAAGCACCTCAGTATTCAACATTTGAAAAGCACGGGTATACCTACCCCTGTGGGCCTTGGCTTCACCATCCTCATGCTCCACGTTTGCAAGTCAGTTTGGGACCATTTGGGGCCTGACTGACCGTGACTCCAAGTGGGAAGAGACATGGGCCTTAGAGCAGGGCAAACCTGGGTTCGAATCCTGCCCACACCACTTCCCAGCTGTGTGGCCTGGGGCAATGACTTCCTCTCTTAATTTTCCCTCTGAGAATGGAAGTGTAGCGCCAGCCTTGTGAAGCCGTGGTGGGGATGTTAAGTGGGAATTACAGATAAAGGGCCTAACATGTGGCAACCATTCTAACAAGAGCTCTGCGTGACCACAGAGGAGCCTGAACCCCAGCCCAAGTCAGGGGCTTGGGACGGGTCTGGGTCCCATGGTCAGTGCACTAGTCTGAGAGTTAGGGCAGGGCATGGCTTCCGGGGCCTCTCAGTATATGGGGCTCAGGGTGGGTTTGGGGAACGAGCAGCCTCTGAGTCTCAGGAGGGGAATAAGAATCATATTTCTTCCACCTCAGGGCCCTGGAGAGCCCAGCTGTCTTTTGGGGCTCTTGAGGCCCAGACACTGGGCCCACAGCCCTCCCCTTCTCAGACTCCAGTCGCTGCTGGGGACCAGTAAC